TCTTCTCGGTCTCAGTGTGTGCGCCGACTGGCAGCCACGCTGTGCCGCCCCTGCGTGGCACGCGGAGCCTCGCCACGCGCTCACCGACGAGCCCGCCTCCCCGTTCCACTTTCCCTTCACGAGCGGACCTTCCTCTTCCGCGCCTGGCCGCGCCCGACAGCGCGGTCAGCTTTGGGCCGCCTTGCTGCTCGGAGCGTGCTGCGGTGTGCTGCTCTCGGTGCGGCGGAGCACCTCCGGGCGCCTCGTGCGGTGCCGGACGGGGGCGAGGCGTGGCGCGTGGCTGCTGATTCTCGCCGCGCTGCTCCCGCTGGCATGTGCACCATCAGCCTACACGTCTGGCTCGGGCGAGTCTGGCTCTGGGGAGATTGGCTCTGGCGAGGTTGACATCGATCCGTCGCCATCTCCCGAGCCGTCGCCAGCTCCATCGCCCGAGCCGTCACCGTTTCCCGAATTTCCCGAGCCGTCGCCCGAGCCTGAGCCGTCGCCGTCTCCCGAATTTCCCGAGCCGTCGCCCGAGCCTGAGCCGTCGCCGTCTCCCGAATTTCCCGAGCCGTCGCCGCCGCCGTACCCTCCGGCCAAGGCGCCGGTCCCGCCGCCGCCGCCGCCGTCCCTTCCGCCGCCGTCCCCGCCGCCGTCGCCGCCGCCGCCGTCCGCGTCGGGCGAGACTGGCTCTGGGGAGATTGGCTCTGGCGAGGTTGACTCACCGCCGTCCGCTCCATCAATCGACTTCCAGGTCACTGTGGGTGGCGGCAGCTACCCGTCCGAGGTGTCGTGGGACCTGACGTGCAGCGGCGCGTTGATCGGCAGTGGAGGGGCCCCCTACTTTGGCACCCTGTCCGCGCCGCCCGGCGAGTGCACGCTCAACATGTACGACTCGTGGGGCGACGGCTGGAACGGCGACGAGTGGGAGGGTGCGGGCTATACGTTCACGCTCGACTCCGGATCCTCCAGCAGCGAGACGTTCACCCTCGCCCCCCTCCCCCCGTCCTCTCCGTCGCCGCCGTCGCTGCCGCCGCCGGCGCCGCCAATCGACTTCCGGAAGGCTACTTT